TTAACGAAGGAACGCAGTGGTATATATATATATCAATCATATATTACATACCCTCTGCCATTCTCTTCAATCTTTAAATGGGACTTTGACAAGAAGAAAAGTAGAGTAAGGAAATAACCCAGTTATATATACAGGTATAGTTATTACATCCCCTCAGCTATTCCCTGTAACTGGGACTTTGACAAGAAGAAAAGTAACTCTTCATAGAATATTATATTATTGTAAAGGAAATAACCCAGTGTTAAATATATATACAGGTATATCTATTACATCCCCTCAGCTATTCCCTGTAACTGGGACTTAAGCAAGAAGAAAGGTGAGACTTGCATAAAATATGATAAATGATATATAGTGTAGAAATATAACTGCAGCGTATTCACATCCCTACAACTGGGACTTAGGCAAGAAAGGTCAGTCATGTATATGTAATAAAGGATATTGTATAGAAATGTACCTGCAGTGTATTGACATCCCCTCTCCTTTTCTATATAACTGGGACTTTGGCAAGAAGAAAGGTGAGTGGTATATTTGAATCCCCTCTGCCCTTCTCTATTTCTGGGGATTTTGCTAAAAGAAAGGCAAGTTATGTATTAAATATAATAATAATAATAATAATAATGGATTGCATTTATATAGCACATATCCACTTATGCAATGCATATTCACGCATGCATGCACCACACACACATACACACATACGTACACACATACACACATACGTACATATGCACATACAAACTCACAACGATCTACAGCTTGGATGGATTCTGTCTAATTGAAATATGATGAAAATAGAAATGCTATTAGTTTCTTCTTAAAAATTTCTAGATTTTCTGCTTCTCTGATAGTTTTTGGAAGCCTATTCCAAACAAGTGAGACAAAGTAATAAACGATATATAGTGTAGAGATATAGGCCACCAGTAGTATATTTACATCCCCTCTGCTTTTCTCAATGGCTGGGATTTTGCGAGAAGAGAGATGAGTTATGTACCAAATAATATGATAATGATATATATAGTGTTGAGATATAACAGTGGTATATTTACATCCCCTCTGCCTTTTTCTGTAAACTGGGATTTTGCAAGAAACAATTAGGTGAGTCATATAATAAAAGATATAGTGTTCAAATGTACCTGCAGTATATTGACATCCCCTCTGCTATTTTCTTTAATTAAGACTTAGGCTAGAAGAAAGATGAGTGGTATATTTGAATCCCCTCTGCCCTTCTCTATTTCTGGGGATTTTGCTAAAAGAAAGGCAAGTTATTTATTAAATATAATAGATGATATATAGTGTAGAGATATAGGCCACCAGTAGTACATCCCCTCTTCCTTTTTCTATAAACTGGGATTTTGCGAGAAGAAAGGTGAGTCATATAATAAAAGATATAGTGTAGAAATGTACCTGCAGTATATTGACATCCCCTCTGCTATTCTATATAACTGGGATTTTGCAATAAGAAAAGGTGAGTGGTATATTTGAATCCCCTCTGCCTTTCTCTGTTTCTGGGGATTTTGCTAAAAGAAAGGCAAGTTATGTATTAAATATAATAGATGATATATAGTGTAGAGGTATAGGCCACGGGTAGTATATTTACATCCCCTCTGCTTCTCTCAATAACTGGGATTTGCGAGAAGAAAGGTGAGTTATGTATAAGATAATATAATTATGATATATAGTGTTGAGATTTAACAGTGGTATATTTACATCCCCTCTGCCTTTTTCTGTAAACTGGGATTTTGCAAGAAGAAAGGTGAGTTGTAAAATAAAAGATATAGTGTAGAAATGTACCTACTGCAATATATTAACATCCCCTCTTTATTTCTCTATTACTGGGATTTTGCAATAAGAAAAGGTGAGTGGTATATTTGCATCCCCTCTGCCTTTCTCTATTACTGGGACTTTGCAAGAAAAAAGGTGATTTATTTATAAGATATAATACATTTTGGTATTGTGTAGAGATATAACAGTTGTATACAATGTATTTGGTCGCTTTTAAGGACAAGCGGGCTAACCCAGATTTCGGGGGTTTCCAGAAATCCTGACCTACACCAAAAGTGGGCATTGCCCTACCTATAGGAGAAAATTGGTTTCATTGGCTTGAATATTTGTTTAGTTATAGAGAAAACGCTCCGTGTTTTTTAATGAAACTGAACAAGGGGCAAAAACTTTACCTTCGATTTTCTCAAAACAGCATTTTTCGGGATAGCCGACCATTAAAAGCGACCATTTACATCCCCTCTGCTATTCTCTTTAACTGGTATTTTGCAAGGAAAAAAAAGTGAGTCATGTACAGGCAATCTATGATATAGTGTAGAGATAACACAGTGGTATATAATTACCTCCCCTCAGCCACTCTCTATAACTGGTCATGAAAAGTGAAATGATAACACAGCCCTTCTAGTTTCTCTCTCTCTCTCTCTCTCTCTCTCTCTCTCTCTCTCTCTCTCTCTCTCTCTCTCTCTCTCTCTCTCTCTCTCTCTCTTACCAAAACGTGTAACATTAAAACAATGTTTACGTGCACTGTAACTAATGATTAACGAATTCAATCGTTTTCATTTCATCGATAACCATCTGCCAATTTATCAATCTTTGCTCCCTTCTTTTATAGTATCCTTTTTTTCTTCTCATCTTTATCTCTTTTTTTTTTTTTGGTAGTATCTTAGGACTTTTAGTCTCATTTAGATTGACTAGACATCTTTTGAGATGCACTGATACAGAATGCTATGCGCTGTTTACAACTATTCTTAATCGAATAGTTACCACACTTGGGAAAAGGAACACACATAGATCTGCGATTAAAAATTTTTCTTTAGTTATGGATTTATTCTTTTTACACGTATCCCCACCTCATAATCTTGCTGAAAAACAACGTCACGGTGCGGTGTCAGACCAAGATCATGCTAAGTCATTGGCTGGATATTTGCTTAAAAACTAAAGAGTATCCAGCCCCCCCCCCCTCTGTTTTTAAAACCATAGCATAATCTGCATTATAAGAAATGAGGAGTTAACTTTAATAAGCTAACTACAGCCGGAATCCTGTTATGACTGATACTGTTTTAAAAGAAAAAGGGGCCCACTGAATTGATTTCGTAAACTTCACGAAATCGTACCTTTATTCCAAACTGAACAGAACGTGCATTGTCTCAAAAAAACTACCTGGTGTGAACAATAAAAAGACGTCGTTTTCAGCCTCGAAATTTTAATTAGAAACCTCCCTGTTCTAAGAAAAGTATGTCACACTCCGACTTCTGGTACTTATCTTCAAGCACAAACACACACACACACAAACACACACACACACACACACACACACACACACACAAACATACACACACACATACACACACACA